AGAATTCTCACAAAACCCTACGGTTTTACAAAAGGTTTTCTGTAAAATCGAGCTCCAAAACTATGCCTTTTCTAATTTTTCGGTTGTGCGATCAGATTTAGCGGAGGAAATTAACCATATCCTGAAAATTTTGAAGTCGTGCTGATGTTTACTGAGTGATTAGCAAATTTTTTAATATTAGGTGTAAACAGCCTGAAAACACAAATTTTCGTAAAACTCGCCTTTCGGTAGAATTTTAAAACGTTTCTAGAAACAAATATTGCCACGAAACGCACCGTGGTCGATTACGCATAGTTCATCCGTCTTGAAGGCTACCAATCGTCGCTGGGTGCCAGTCCTAGGATTCGTAGGAAATCCGATACAACGCCTGAAGCGTGGAAAATCAAGGTCTCGCTTGACTCTCAATTTGAAAAGGACACCCTGGGTTATCAGTCTGTGAAAACAAGTTAATTCAATCCTATTGGAAAATTTTTACACACGAGCTAGTTTTCCAAAGATCCCCTGGAAAACCCGTTACAGAAAGCTCTTCTAGGATAATTTTTGGTTATGAAAACATGTTCCCAAGTCTCCTCTTTCGAATGGTGAAAATTGAAGCTCTTTAGCTTTTACCTATCGAAAGTTATTCAAAAAACCGTCATATACCATTCTTTTTTTGGATGGACAATAGTGTCTGACAAGAAAAATGTCAAATACCGCTACCGGAGCAAGCATTGTGTTAAACACCACTCTGAAACTTTGAAAGGCGCCTCAGTGCGTGTTCCGGACCATTCACACGTAGTACTTCGAAAGGAGAAGTTGTTCGTAAAACAGGAGTCGTTGAACGTCTCTTTCGACGGCAGCTCTAATGTCCGTCATACTGTTTGATAGAGTATCTGAAAGCCTAAAACGTACTACATAATCCGAAGAAGTCTCATAATATATCTGTCGAAATCTCATTCCCATATTGAATAAGTGTAATATAAGTAAACGACCTTCTGTCTACAAAATTCAAAGATATACTCTTTACACAACAAAAAAGAAACACCATTCTTTTCTTTCTTTCTCTTCTTTTTTGCTTTTGCTCACTTCTGATATCAAACGAGTTTTTTAAGGTAAACGTACCTCTTTTGCTTATAAGATGCTAGCTGTACCCTGGTTCTTGTTCGCTTTACTCATATTTGTATCATCGACAGCCGATGAGACTTGTTCAACTAATTTTTGTAAAAACAATGGTCAATGTTATCCACTCAACAATAATTCGACCACCAATGTTTCTTTTTCAAATATTTCCTTTTGGGGATGTATATGTCAGCCATGTTTTACAGGTGAAAAATGTGAATACTCGAATAATATAATATCATTATCTCTAACATCAGCTATGATAACTGACATTCGAAATGCAGGTCGTCCATCACAGAAAACTGCACGAGAGTTTGCTTTTGTTTTTGTTACGAGTCTCTTAGTCTTGGTAGCATTAGCTAACAACATTCTTAGTTTGTTAACTTTTCTATCACTGAAAGATGTCCCGTCGGATACTCTGACAAAGGTTCGTGGAAATAATCAAATTTATCTAATATTGTATTCCGTCTACGGTTTAATTGTGATGTCGGAATTAGAAATACGTGTTATTCTCATGTTGTTCAAAATTGAATCGTCGGAATATCAGTTCTATTTGTGTAATGTAGCACCCGTTTTCGGTGCGATGATGGTCCATCTTGGATTGTGGACTAGTGCATTGTTTATTGGCGAACGAATGCTCTATGAAATATTTAATATCCAAGTGATATCAACAACCGGTCGTTCTATAATTATTAATATAATAGTTTTTGTACTCGTTGCTTGCTCTCATATACATGAAATATTTGGTCGTCGAGCTCGACCGGATCCTCTGTTGCCCGGTGCATATGTGTGTACATTTGATTATGGTGAACAATATTTGAATAATATTGATGTTGCATTTACTATTATACATTTGGCTGGTCCATGTTTACTGCACCTAATCTGTAGCATTCTGATTATAGTCAGACTTATCGTTACTCAAAAAGGTGCAAATCGTGCTCACATCTACGATGCAAATCAACAAGTACCACATGTTTGGCGACATGTCGTAGGTGAACATCGTGATTTTTTCATACCACCCTTATTAATTATCCTGTGTGCATTACCACATTTTCTATTTGCACACCTGATGGTACACTGTATTGAGATATCAAAAACCGATTATTTACGTTTACATATCGCCTTGAATTTACTTGTTTATATACCACAGACAATAACATTTGCTATTTATGTTTATCCGAATAAAGACTATAGGAATTTGTATGCGAAATCAGTTGGTGGTAAATTTATTAGACGTGTTTGTTGTTGCAAAAGGACATTGCAGTCAACAGAAACGAGATCACGAAGTGATACCGAATTGTCGATGTTTAACCAAGTTCAACGTGATAACAATGTTGATGAAAACAAACAAAAACGCTAACACAGCTTTTAAAACGTCAAGAAATTAGTTTTTTCTAACTGTCCTTATTCAAATTTTGAATATTTCGTCACTTCAGACGATTGTATCTACTATTTTGTTAAACTTCCTCCCTTTAGAGGATGAAACAGAGAGGTATACGCATAATCGAGGGAGTCTTCGTTAAAAGTTCTTGCCACTCTCGAGATCCTAAGCCCCTTAAAAGTAACTTTTTAACTGTCCTCACTAGAAAGAAAATAATTCTCTCGGAAGAAATCAAGTTTCATTGTCATATTTTAGACTCTACTTGTTTGAAGTAAATAAATTTTGTTTTACAACCGCTTTTTCGCTACAGAAAAGCTCAAGTCTTGGAAACTTGAACTGACCCGTACTAGTCTCGTAGTCCTCGAGCCTGCCTTTCTGTAACTTGTCTCTCAACTCTCTGTCTTTAACACACTAAACTTGCGTTGTGCGGTGAACACACTAAACTAAGCAGTTGTGACAGTGAATTTTCTTTGATTAAGAACTTCTAACTTACTTCTCATACGGTCAGTTTGTCTACTGCAACTCATCCTCACCACACTAAAACGCCGGTTTCTTACGGTGTTTGTAATGGTATTTTATATTCTAATTTTCTGGCATTCCGATCTTCTCACCCGTTCGCCTCCATATCTTTTGATTATCCCGTATTATAATCCTCTGAATTTCTGACTTACTGACTCTCTGATCTTCTTGCATTTTGCTGTTTTAACTATTTCACATTGTGGTTGTGTTATCTAATGGGTGGGCCATAAAGAATGACCCTCTCAGTATTTTGCTGGTAACTTGGTTTGGATTTCTTTCCGAGATTCGATATTTTTTTAAAAGATGCGCTGCGAAATACTCTACAAAATCGTACCTAAACTATAATTTCAGAACTTCGGTCAAGAAAACTAAGCCAATTAGATGAAAGTCGAAAAAATGTAAACTTTCTAAACTCAAAATTTTTTCGACTACAACTTTTTCTTCTGCTAATATTTTCGCTAAAAAGTGTGGCAAAAGTCAGAACTCAGTTTATGTTTGGTATTTTCAAATGTGCTCTTTCTCGCGGTCTGAAAAGACGTTTTTAGAGCAGATGGTGTGCTCGAGAACGAAGTTACAAAAACACATCAAAACTTGACAACCTCTCCATTTTCAACAGTGTGCTCAATCACGAAGAGGAAAAGATGACTGAAGTTTGATTTTGCCTTTACATAGAGAAGAGCAAGCATTTCTGATCAAAACAAAGCAAACCCGACCGAAAAACTTTTATTTTGATGCAGTTATGGAGCTTTTACTGAAAGCACTACTATACCCAAAATTTAAAAAATTAATGACAAATCCATGACAACCAATAG